CCTAATTTTGCACTATAAAAAGGGGTGTTTGGGTCTGCTTTTCTCACCAATTCACTTCACAACATCTATACTTTCATTGCATTCAAATATCATAATTTTCCATAGCTTTCTAGAGCCACTTGTGTGAAGGTTGAGTTGTTCTTGAGCGTACTTAGTTTACTCATAATCTACTCTATAAGAGAGTCTCGTTCTTGAGTGTACTTGTGTTCTTAGACACGTTGAGAGATAGCATCTCTCTCGGTTGATTCAAAGGAAGGTCTGTTTCCTTTGAAGGATTCGTTGAGGTTCGTGTGACTCGAACTCTCAAGTTGTAACGGTTTGTTAAGCACCCGTAAGCTTAACGAGTTAGTAGTGTAGCTCGAGAGAGTCTCTCGGGAGGCTGGATTAGCCACAAGTTGTGGTGAACCAGGGTAAAATTCGGTGTGCCTCTTACTCTTCTCTTTACTTCTCTTTTAAATTTTTAATTCCTGCGATTTCTACGATCAAACGCTATTCACCCCCCCTCTAGCGTTGGTCTTTTATTCTAATAAGACTTTCGAGAGAGTCTCTCGGAAGACTGGATTAGCCACGAGGTGGTGAACCAGTATAAATCTCGGTGTTCTTCTTTCCCTTACTCTCTTTATTTTATTCCTGTGATTCCATTATTTCACACACGCGAAAAACACTTATTCTTGAGAACAACTCTATTCACCCCCCTCTAGAGTTGCACATTTGTCTAATAGGCCCTAACCCATACTAAAGATCAACAGTGCATACAATAAAAGAACATTTTATTAAAAGTTGTAAAATAAATTTACAACCGGAAGCAGAGCCAGGGCCTCTTCGAGACAACCAGGACAAAACTAAACTAAAAATATTAAAATATAATTGAAAACGGGACTAGAAAAGAGGTCTGGGCCTTAGAAGACCCGGAGGAAGGTTGATAATGGATTGCTTCTCGCCGATCTGCGCCTTAAATAGGCGTGGGATTTTCCGGGGCGGGGTCCCGGGAGGCCGCCAGGCAGGTCGCCGCAGCTGCGGCCGTGGTTTCACGCACACGGTTTTGGCCGGTACTGTGTGCATGCTGTTTTTTTGTTTTGTTTTTTTGGAAAATGCTAGGGGTACACCAAAAGTGTACCCCAAACATCCCCCACCCCTCCATCACCACACAAAAAAGGCAAGAAAATTTCAAAAAAAGTAAAAGATAAAAAAAATAAAAGGAATGATGTAGAGGCAAGTGGCGTATATTTGTGGTACACCAAAGGTGTACCCCTAGCATATCCCTTATTTTTTTCCCTGCGCAGCGTCATTCCTTCTCTTCTTTCAATCTTTCTTTTTTGGAAAATGCTAGGGGTACACCAAAGGTGTATCCCAAATGTCCTCCACCCCCTCCTTGTCCACAAAAAAAAAGCTAAGAAAATTAAAAAAAATAAGTAAATAAAAATAAAATAAAAATGTATGATTATGAAGGGGGTGAGGGACATTTGAGGTACACCATTTGTTATACCCCTAGCATCATCCTTCTTTTTTTTTAATGATGATCATTGATGATGGTGGCTGACAACTGATACAGGACGCCCCCCGTTTGATCCAAATTCCGAATGAATTTGGATCAAACGAATTAATTTGAATCAAAACAACTTTTTTTTAACTTTTTTCTTTTCAAACAATTTCTTTTTGGTACTTTTTCAATCCGTTTGACTTCAAATCTCTTGCTGGGGTGTATCTCCACAATTAAATATACAATTTTCACTTCAAGGATTTTCACCATCTTTTGCCTCTTTGCTCCGTTGCATTCCATTTGCACAATTTTTTACACTTGTGTACCACTTTTGACTCAATTTTTATTCTTTTTAAAACTAGACATAACTTTTGTGCACTTTTACAATTATGAATAAAAACTTATAAAAACCATTGAGAAATTGATTTGTTTGATCTAAAATTGGACAATAACACATTAAATGTAGAGAAGACAAGTGCGTAAAATTGGACAATAACACATTAAATACGGACTTATCAAACTCAGAATCAGAATACGGTAAATCTAAAAGATGACGAAATAAGTGGAACGTCTTCAAAATTTCATCCACGTGATCATAAGCTATACAGACACCTTCGTGAAACTCAGCTCTTCTATAAAAGATATTCTTCAACACACCAAGAAGTTTGTTCAAAGCATCGCCCATGGTCACAATAATTTTATCCAAAATCGAGACCATAGTTGTGACAAGACGGATACCAAAAAAAGAATGAAAAAGCAATGCACTCAAATCTGGTACCCACTTACTCAGTTCATCCAAGGCAGAAGTATTAGTAACACCAAAGTATTGAATTAATACTCCGTAAGTGGGTCAAAGCAAACCCATACTATTGTAACAAATCAATTTAATTTCTTAGGGTTCTCCGGCAAAAGTTGGGGCCCAAAACTAAGGATTGCTATGCGGCCACAAACAATCAACTGTAGTGGCACACTAAAATAGCTGGCGGCAAAGTAATTATAGGCAACGATGGAGGCAATACAACAACAAAATGTTGAAGTAAGATGATTTAACGCTCCTTTCTTCGATCCTCAGGCTGGAAAAGTCATTGCTAGTTTTGGATTGAATCAACGCTGCCTTTTTCGTTCTTGATTCCGAATCAGCAACAAGTGACAAAGGCAAATGACAATTGTGGAGATTTGTGTTGTCACGGATCAGCAACTGGTGGAGAAGCAATTTTTCTTTTTCTTTTTTTTTGGATTTTTTGAAGTCTCTCAACGAGAGCACCAATGATTCGAACTCGTATCGAATATGGGACGAGGAAGAAAAAGAAGAATTGAGGTGAAGAGGGAATCGGCGAACCAAGAGAGGAGAAGGAATTTGGGTTTTGATTTGTTTATTGATTTATTATTCTAAAGGAGTTACATCTATATATATAGGAGACAAAGAAACCCTAGGTAACCCTAAACCTAACCTGACGGTTCAATAAAAGCGACGAGGGAAAGAACCGTAAAGAAACCTCGAAAGAGCTTATAATTTTGCTCACCTAATAAAACCTAGATTACAATATAATAATAATAATAATAATAATAATAATAATAATAATAATAATAATAATAATAATAATAATAATAATAATAATAATAATAATAATAAACTAATAAATATATAATCTAATATCCTACTATAAAATCCATAACAGAAGGTTGGCGCGGCGTTACAAACAGAGGTTGATCGAAGAAGAAAGCTGCGGTAGATGGTAGGAAAGGCGTCAGATGAAAATCCTAGTCGGGTCAAAGTGGGGATAGAAAGGTTATTTACGGTATGAGTTTTTTTATTTGAGAATGAACATTATGTTATTTCAGAATGAGTACTATTTTAATTTAGAATGAACACTATGTTATTTGTGAAAGAATATTATAATTGTAATGAATAAATGTGTGAAAACGAGTACTATATTATTTCGAGTACTACGTTATTTTAGAATGAGTACGACGGTATTTCAAAATGAATAGTTATGTTTGTGCGAGAATGATACTACTCTACTTCAAAATGAGTACTACCTAGATGTACCTATCTCTAGGTACATCCGGTTGTACCATATACCTTCTCCCCCTAAAGACGACAAATTATATGGTACATCCAGCTGTAACTTCCTTTAGGTACAGCCTGGTATTTTTGTAAATTTTGCAAACTTTTTATCTAATGCCCAAAACATATATGAAAACTATTATATATGACAATGAGTACCTGCAGATTTGAGAAGTACCAGCACTTATGAGAATTATCATATTCTTATTCAATACAAACATTAATAAACGTGAGTTTTAAATTCTCCATGCTCAGAGAGTATAAATGAGTAGGAACGAATCGAATAGAGGAAGAAGTTGATGATGGTACTGAACTTTTTAATTGTGAAAAAATTGAACAATACTTTATTTCAGAATGAACATTTCCTTATTTGAGAATGAGTATTGTTTTTTTAAAAAATGAACACTACGCTATTTATTATAATTATATTAGACAAATGTGTAAAAAATGAGTACTTTATTTTAAAATGAGTACTACATTTGCCAGAATGAGTACTACGTATTTCGAAATAAATGTTTATATTTGTACGAGAATGAGTACTACTTTATTTCAGAATGAGTACTATCGGGATGTACCTATTTCTAAGTACATCCGGATGTACCATATACCAACTCCCTAAAGACCCCACACTCCTAAAGATGACATCGTTGTCTCTCAACCCGACCACACCGCATTCATTGTATGGTACTGTGGTCTAGAGATGAGCAATAGGACCAATGCGGTCAGACTAGATCGGTCTTTGGAAAAGACTGCTACAGTAAAAGACTAGACCTGACTAGTCTTTTTAAAAACCCGGTCCTAACTAGTCCGGTCTTCTTATCAAAATCAAAGACCAAATAAGACCACTAGTCCAATCTAGTCCGGTCGGTAGTCCAATCTGGTCCGGTCTCTAGTCCCAACATATTGGGTCAAGATTGTAGTTTTGCGATGTTGTGTCAGGGTTACCAAATAGTCCATCAACTCTTTTTGCATCGGTCGAGATTGCATGTTGCACTTCGCTCGCTCAATCGCTGATTCTCTGAGGACATCTCTGAGGACTAGTTCTACTGCTCTAGGACAGAGTGTTGTGACGCTTGAGTTTATCTTGAAACTCTAAGAAAATACTTATGGGATAGGGGAAGCCGAGAAGTACTAATCATTTCTAATTTGTATTACTATATATTAATTTTTTAACATTTTTATACGTACTACTCCATATATACTACTCCCTATATACTCCGTAATTTACAAGTAATATAATTAGACTCTAGAGAACTAGTTTTTTGGACTAGTCCTAGTCTTTAGACCAATCTTTTACTAGTCTCGGACCGATTCAAGTCTTTAACATGTCTTTTAGTAGTCTTAGACTAGTCCTAGTTCTCTATAAATATTAAGGAACGATTGAGACTACTGGTTTTGGACTAGACTAGTCTCAAGGACTACTTCGGTCCCAATCTTTCAAGTCCAAATCCTAGTCAGTCTCGGTCAATTTTTTCGGTCCTAGTCTTTATGCTCTTCTCTACTGTGGTCGTAGTTATCCTTAATTCCTTACTGGTGCATGCTACATTTACACCAAAATTTGTACTTTATTTGTACACCAAAGATATATACCGACATTTTGATAGTTCACACTAACATAAATTGTTGGTGCGTTAACAAAAATTTACACTGATACAAAGTATTGATATCTTAACAAATATTAGTACTCCCTCCGTCCCGTGAAACATGGAACATTTGCTTTTTAGGAGGGATTTAAGGGAGTGTATTTTGGTATTGAATTTCCAAAAATGTCCTTTGATGTGATGGGTAAAGTATGATTATGATGTGATAGTTAGGGTATGAAAAAGTAAAGGGTAAAACTGACTTTTTAATAAAAATGAGAAGTGTTTTGTGGGACGGATAAAAAAAGAAATGAGAAATGTTTCACGGGAAGGAGGGAGTATTACATTAATACGAAGTATAAAATATTGGTGTGTACAAATGAGGTAAATTCTAGTTACAGCTTACAAACAGCTTTATCCTTACTTTTATCGCAAACTACCCCTTCGAATCTACTGGGTTACCTGGAGCCTCCATCCCCGTCATCGGCAATCACAATTATGTCTTCCAAGCCCAGTTCCGAACTCACCGGCCAGCTTAGAATTTCCGGCCTTGATTCCGCCGGGAAAAATGGACCGGCTTTTGTTGGCCAGGTTTTCAGTATGTGCAACCTTTCAGGCACTGGTCTTATGGCTGTCTCTACGCACTTCAACGTCCCTTTTATTTCTAAAATGTATTGTTTTCTTCAACTATGTGTTTGTGAATGCAACAATGTCGTTTTTTCTCAACCACATCTATTTTAATGATAAAATTTGAACTAGCCAAGCTTGCAATCAACGCATTAAGCTCGACTAGATAGGTACTCCTTATCTTAGTGAACTTTGAAGGCTGAGGAAGATGGGGTATACTGTCTCCGAATCCAAAGTTTCTGCCTTCAGTGTTGGCAAATGTGTCAATGACTCAATAAACTTGACTAGACCTGCCTCATTATATTTTTTGTTGTTTAATTATTTGCCAGTGTTTTACAGGACACCTGAATGGCTTAAGAAGATGGTTGGTGCCCTTACTAAGACCGATAGAAATGGACCTGTGTTCCGGTTTTTTATGGATCTGGGTGATGCAGGTTGTCTAATAATGCTGTAATTATGAGTTTTGTGCTCCAAGTATTTCACATCCTTAACACTCACTAATGATACCATTTATAAGTCCCATTTTTTGAAAGATACTACTTATTTCTATTTTCCTTTATGGCCCAGTGAATTTAGTATTTGGTTGTAAAGGATGTGTTTCATTCCTTTGAATGAAATTCTCACACTGTTTTTGCATTTTAATCTCTTTTATTTACTCCTCACTGTTTCTCTATTATCTAGACGTGACAATTTTTTCTGCCAAAATATTATAGCTCTCACACTATGGTTTAGGGTTGAGTGATAGACTGATAGGAGAGTTGAGAAAGTTGATTAGACATGACATGGGCGTGTGCAACTGACCAGGGACCTGGCCTTTCATTGGATAATTTAGAGATCTAGGACTAAGGTTGTAGAGAAGTGGGTAACCGAGTGTGTTCCTCTTGAGAATGCAGGTTCTAAGAGGTGATTAGGTTTTGTAGGGTATTTCTCTTTTTATTTATTTGGTAGATAAAATGGCATCCTTTTGTGAGTTTTGTCTGTGTTTTTGTGTGACATATTCATTAGTGGAAGCGTGCTAATTTGTTTTCTTTGTCCTTTGCCATGGGGTTTTGGAACCTCTATAGTAGATATAGGTAGGGTTAAGGTCTACGTACACCTTCCCACATACATCACTTGTAAGACTACACTGGGTTGTTGTTTTTTGTATAATTCTCACACTTTGACCATACATATTTACAGTTTCTTATGTCAAACGGATGAATATTCCTAATGGCGTGGTTGGTGCATGCCGCCTTGATTTGGCATATGATCAATTTAAGGTACTTCATTTCTGATTTTAGGAATAAGAGTGATGATGGATATAATCTTTAGTTGGCCATTCAAAGATTTGATGATCAAGATATGCTCTTTAGTTGTATGACATGTATGTATCTTGAGTTTTATGATTGTTTTCAATTTTCATTAAACAGAAGCCTTGCAATATCGGTATTGGAAATTTTTGAAAACTGCTATACAAATGCTTAATTGCAAGTTCATGATCTATATCACTTTTATTTGTTAGTCTTTCCGTCGGATTAAGTTCTCCACTTTTCAAAATCTGTAGCATTTCTCAAATTTCAGTGAATGCTAAATAAACAAAAATCCTTTAAATTACCTTGTTCTTCATTGATGGGAACAATGCTTGTATGCTCTTTATGGGCTGTTTTTTATATAAAATCTAATAATTTGTTTATTAAATATGCCAATTGGGCAATTAAATCCAGATGTCACAAAGTAGAAAGTTGACAACTAAATCCATTAATCGAAAGTGGACAACTAAATTCGTAAGGAGGGAGTATACCTTATTTATTGAGACTCTTCAGCTATTTTAAATGATGCTTCTTTCAGGAAAAACCTGACTTATTCCAATTTGTTCCAAATAAAAAGCAAGTAAGTTGCATTCACCTTCAAACTCCTGGTCGAAATTTCACCTATTTTTTGTGTGTAAAATTTCACACTATCAGAGAATTTTTTTCACTTCCCAGAACTGTTTGTGCAGGTCAAGGAAGCCAATAAGCTTCTCAATACGATGCCACAAAAAGGTCAAAGGAACCGTGTGGATGGTGTTCCGGTTTTTAGTTCTCAAAACCTGGATGTTGCAATAGCAACAAAAGATGGTATAAAATGGTAAGATCATCTATGCTTGCTCATTCTCTATTGAGGCTAAGCATTAGCCTAAAGATTGCAATTATTTACTCCATCCATCCCGCTATAGTTTACCCTTTTTGGCATTCTTGTCTGTCCCGTTTGTCTTTGTTACATTCCATATTTGTCATACTTGTCTTTACAGTTTACATGCTCAATGTCAATCAAAATATTCCACTCCTTGTTTTGCGTTCCAACATTCATTGCCCCGAACTTTGTGGGATGGAGTATATGCTAATGCTAATCACTTTGGACTGCTAAGTCACCAGGATTTTTGAAGATTTTAGATTGTTAATTAATTTACTTCATCCTTTTAAAAAATTATTTTTCATATGCGAATGGAGAAACAAACACTGCGTAACCTTGCTTCCGTTGCCCATGGAACTAAATGAGTTATTATTGACAATATTTTAGTCCCCGGTAAATAATGACCAAATCAAAATGATACCTTAAATTTTGATTGCTTACTGTTTATAAAGTTGTTGGTAGTAAATGCACCAAGGCATCAGTGGTTTAACGGAAACAATGTCTAATGTTTTAGAGGGATAAGGTTGCTTACTTGTTGACACCATGCGCTCACAGAGTTGGGGGTTTGTTAGGTTTCTTGTTGTTTTATAACCATTTTAAAATGGAGGCAACTTGATGAGTTTATGGATGGCCTAGGTGCTTGCATAAGGGCAAACCTTGTGTCATGGATACAAGAAAGCAATGTGTTATTGTATAATCTTGACATCATTGACTCATTGTTTTCTTGAGTCAACATTATCTAATTAAATTTTATTTTTCTTACTATCAGGTACACTCCATACTTCTTTGATAAAAGGATGTTAGACAACATCCTTGAAGATTCTGTTGATCAGCATTTCCATTCACTGATTCATTCAAGGCACCTAGAACGCAGGCAGGATGTTTTTGATGACAATGCCACTTCTGAAATAGTAGAAGAGATGAGAGACGGCCTATGGGAACTTCCAGAGGTACAAAATATGATTATTATAGTTAGTTTAGAAACTACGGAAAATACAAGGAGGCAAGTATTCAATAGTCTTTTGTAGAGGCATAATTAAATTATAATCGTCCAAACTACTTTAAAATATAAGAATTCGTTGGCACTGAGGAATCGGGATAACTGTAGCAGGGTTGTCAAAAGCGTGTACCTTAGCTCAAGCGTACCATGCAAGGCACATATTATCTTAAGCACATTTAGAGTCTCTAAGTGCAATTTAGGCCTACAAATCGCAAGAAGTGGTAAGACGAGCTCTTAACCTTGTTTTTTTGTCTGTTTTTTATACTACCGGCCTTTAGTTTTTTTGTTTTTGGTTTTTTTAATTTGGGAGAACTTTTCGGCAGTGGGTCTATATCTTAAAGTATAGAGGGACTCTAGACATAAATTAGACATGAAAAATTAACCTATCCAATTATTGTGGCAAAACCTAAATTATTAACTTATCATTATATCTTATATTGAGAAGAAGTTTAAGGAAGAATTGAAGATAAGTTTATTCATAAGTAATAGGACTTTTGGACACCATTAATCTGACCTTTTAGGGTATTAGACTGTATTAATCCCACATTTCAAAAAGCATGTGATTGAGCTAACCTTTACACCATATTGTTCTCATCATACCAGCAGGGAGTTAGGATAATTAGAACTTACGAGTAATTCTTAGATGATATGTCATCCCAAATTTGTGACATACAAAAAAAATACACCCACACATATCACCTATTCATGATCAAGAGACCGTCTACTTCCTCCTATTGAGAGTGGTTTAGGCATGAATATTGAGAAGCGCTGGAGATTCCACACAACAGGGGAAGGAACCCATGCCACTAATCTTACCATTGTGTTGAGCTTGGCTGGTGACACTGGTTTCTTCCTCACGCAGATGTCCATCGAAAATGTTGGAAGGAGTTTGAAAAATATTACAAAGTAGAATTTTAGATTTTTATGTTTATTGGACAAAATAACTTACTTCCAATATACTATTTTGAATTCTTTATACTTATTAAAAATTACCATCAAGAGATTTAATACTTTGTATTTTATTTTATTGACTTTTTTTCATATAGAACTAATAGAACAATACTCATAAAAAAGTAACCAATGTGAACATTTTAAACATATCTATCTTGTCAAAGCTACACAACATTTAACAAAATTATATACTCCCTTCGTCTCGAATTAATCGTCTCACTTTTCTTTTTAGTCCATCCCAAAATAATTGTCCCACTTCTAGACTGTCATAATAAGGGAAAGAATATCTAGTCTCCAATCTTTAATTTTCTTCTAAACAAATTTCAACCATGCGCGTTTTATTTTTCAATACCTTTCTTGAACTCCATGAAATCAATAGGACTATTAATTCGTGACAGATAGAGTAGTATAAAATGTTTGAATAAGTATAAGTTGAACTTGTAGGATTGGAGCAATAAACATTTGGTGGATATATTGGGCCTAAAACCAGTGTCTATATTGTATGGGCTTGGATGGAGCATATGAGACCCATAAATAAGGAGTGAAGGCAAGGGTCCATGCTCAGCCTCGTCTCACTCAAGCTCGGCCTCATCACTCACGGGCTCGGGCTCTGCAGCTGAGCTCCTTGGCATCACGAAGCCTTAAGGAAGAAGGTCTTGAGCTCGGCCATTACCACGTGGAAGGTTGAGTTCGGCCTTGAACACACTAGGGGGTGAGCTCGGCCATAAGCACACCAAGGGTAAGGGTTTGGCATGGTCGGCCATGTGACGAGCTCAGCACCATGAGCTCCTATGCTCGAATTACGTCAAGGGACATCACAGGCCCCACTCCGTGGTCAACTCCTAGGGAACAATGAACGAACCCTTGCCATGGGAATAGCCCCTGGGTCTGATGAGAAAGGGACGTGTCATAGTATAGGACAAATGTAATTAATGAACCCATGTGTTGTAGCCTCGATTGGTTGGGCTCTTGTACTGTATAAATAGACCTCCATGTTCAACATGGAGAGGAGATCGGATCGATTCTGAGTTTTTGAATTCAGTAAATAGAGCTTTCTGTTTCTTCTATTTTACTACCACATACTTAGAATCCATGAAGTTTTTCTCTTGTTGAGAGGGTTGAATACATCAAGACTTCACCCTGCCTAAAATCTTAGAAGAAATGACCAGATATACAAGGAAATCAGCTTCTGTTGCCCACGACGCCGCGCGGATCGTGGCACCCACCGATAAGCATGACGGAGGAGCTGAGCATGTCAGTGTGCATGAGGAGTTCCACGCCTTCTCAAAGATGTCTTTCGGACCTCTGGGTAACCCTCAATTGCCCGGCAGGCAGAGACTTGCAGGACTGCCTCAGAGAATCGTGCCCCCCCTTTGCTGGTTCCAGTCCAGCAACAAAATCAAGAAAAACACCCACATGAGAAAACATAGATGTTCCACCAACTGTTATACTTTTGTTGGTTTGTAACAAAATATTGTGAATAAACTACGCCTCTTTGTCTTAAAAAGTGGATCCAATGGAGTCAAACAGCTTGGGTCAAAGTGGAGGACCCTATCAGAGAAGTTGCGGACCGATCTCTCCAACCATGCCTAGCCTAGTTGCATGAGGCTGGTCTCACTCTCCTTTGATGTGTAGATCGGAGTGAGCCCGCTTGTCCCTGACCCTCAAAATGATGTCCGCCGCCCGGAGAAGTACGCTGGGTGTAGTAAGTAACTGTTAGCCTGGTGCCCGAGGTCAGCCGTGGTGTACATGCTGGCAATAAGAAGAGTCACCTGAAACATAACTTCAAGGACCCAAGCATCCTGACTCGTGGGCAGCATAAAAAATGAACCACAGTAGCCAGCAATGGAAACTTTGTCATGGTCAACCTAGTTTGACTGATGTGCCTCTATCATTTGGTTCGCCATTTGAACAGCCCAAGCCCATTTTGGATTTTGCTCCTACTCAGCATCTCTCTTCCCATGAGGGTGTTCTTGTCTCTCTTTGTTGCTGAAAAATAGAGGGCTGATCAGAGCACCTCCGTCAGAGCTCTCCCTCTCACCGGAGAGTCCAGAAACTGAGATGGAGCTGGGTGATAGAACAACTATCGAAGTTGATGTTCAAGCTATGGGAGTCAAGCATGACAGTTGGTTTGGACCAGATCTGTTGCTCAATGCACAGCAAAACCAGAGGTCTAAGCTCCTTGACCGACCGGAAAGAGGGAACAACGGATTCACCGGCGAGTTCAACATTGCTGCTTATGGCTGGAGCCACTGCAACTCCACCGCGGAGGACCTAAGCCGAATCTGTGAGCCAGATCTATGCTTCCAACGACTACGAGGGGAATCCTAACGATTCCTGGTTTGGTGCCCAACTGCAAGTTGTAGCCATTGCCAGCCCCATTCGAAGAGGATAATTTCGCAAACCTCTGAACGGCGCAGAGCAGATCGGAGTGGCTTACCCTGGTGTTGGCTTTCACCAAGGGTGTGGGAGAGTGACTTCAACGATCACCTTTGCCCTGCTCCCATCGACGACTTCAAGCACATCTCAGTTCGGAAGGTGGCCTTGTCCATCTACAAAGCTTCTCCGATCAGGCCTCCTCACTTTCCCGAGGCATGTTTATCACGATATATGAGGGGCACGTTTGTCTCGCCGGTGTCACGGATCTACAACCAACACAGAGAAGCTGCAACCAGACCCACCCAGTGAAGTCACTATGCGACCCCGTTCAAATCATCAATCACCTGTGGTGCTCTTCCAGGCTAAAAAACAACACAATCATGGAATTTGAGCGATTAGGTGATAAATTTTGAGAGATCCAATTTCTGAAAAGGGCCTACACCAGAGCTCGCCCATCACTTCCCACCACCATTGGCCGTGACCCATCCATGCTCTAGCCTACTGTCAAAATCACACTCAGGTCTGCTTGCAAAAGATGGCCGGGTCAGCATGATGGAGAACGTCTTTGGCTCGTCCCTAACTTTCCAAAAGGGCGTGCGTTGCCTAAAGAAGGATGGCGTTGACCGTCACCTGACCTCCCGTCAACAATTAGTGGCAGTCTACTCCAGGTAAGCCGACGACATATCCTGGCAAGAAAGAATGGTTGAGGTGGATGTAGCTAAGGCAATTTTTAGATTCGCAGTGGAGTCTTTAATCTTTCCTCAGCAAATTGGAAGAGTCGCGTTTGTGAGAAAGCCCCTCACCTAGTTCATGCTCGGCGTCTTAACTTGCTCCTGCTCGTTATGCTCTCACCGTACTCTCTAAACAGATTACCTCGTGAGGCTCTAGGTTATTTGAATGTCTGAGCATGCATCAACACAAGGCGAATAATGTCAAGCTCTGCCATGTTTCACCGAGTATCAAAATGAGCAAGATTGAGTACGGAGTATAAACATTTTTGGCATGGCCTACCAAAGCCAAATCAAGGTTGGGACCGTGCATCGTCCCACATCTGGAAAATTTTGAGTTGTAGAGCCGCACTCATGAAGACCCGCCTAGGCTCCACGATCACAGGGCGCATGTGCAAGCTCTGTGCACATGAAGACCCCACATGAGCTTCATGGTCATGGGGTGTAGGCGCGAGCTCTGCACTCATGAAGACCCTGCATGTGCTCACGGGACACATGCGCGAGGTCTGCACTCTGCAAAAACCGAAAAGGTTGGCCTTTGATGCTCTCTAATTATTTTTGCCTAAATTGCAAAAACAATTTCATACGACCCAACAAAAAATCAGTCTTTGACGTCAAATGCTCGGGTTACGCCGGGGACTTCAAGATAGATGAGGACTTGAAGACCTTAAGCCCTAATGTTGCTCGCTGGGGCTCGTGTCACCAACATTCCTTGTCAAATTCAAGCCATGCACTTGGAGGCATGAGGATGAAGACTTCAACGTAGAGCCTCACCCCTATAATTTTGGGGGCGTTAAGCATAATCTCCCTTATGTTCTTTCAAACCAAAGGAGAGGGGGACTCAACGGTATTCTCCTTTATGTTTATGGGCTCGAGCCATTTAAACATTTCC